TTTAAAAGAGTGCGTTTTACGGCCCAATAAAGCTTATTAGTTTAGTTAAGGCCCATTAGGGTAATTTATTTCATTTTAGGCCCATTATGGCCCAAAATGTTAAATTTTATGAAAGTGGGTTGAATTAGAGCCCAATTACGAGTTCTAAGCCCAAAATAGTCACATTGGAAGTTTATTGGCCCATTAGGCCCAATAAGGAAATCCTAATCCATAATAGACTTAAACCGGGATTTCTAGGGTTTCAACTTTACTTGATGAATCTAGGTTTGAATGTGCTTCCATAGGTTGAATTTCAAGCATAACATGAATTAGGGTTTACGAGTTTACAGTAGATAATGTTTACAAGAGTACAAAATTTCCTAGCTAGAATGCTAGTTGTGACATCATCCCCCCGTTAGAGGGAATTTCGTCCCGAAATTCTCTTTTTGAAGCTAGATTTGAGAATGCGAGAATAGGTGAGGGTACTTTTGCTTCATCTGGTCTTCGCGTTCCCATGTGAATTCCGGTCCACGTTTCGCGTTCCACCGAACCTTCACTATTGGAATGCGACTTTGCTTAGTAAGCTTCACCTCCCTGTCCATGATTTCAGCTGGTTCCTCGATGAACAGAAGATTCTCGTTGATTTTGATTTCTTCCAATGGAATGACGAGAGTTTCGTCGAACAGGCACTTCTTCAAATTGGAAACATGGAACACAGGGTGTACACTGCTGAGTTCGGTAGGTAGCTGCAGTCTATAAGCCACGGGACCGATTCGGGCAAGAATCTCGAATGGTCCAATATACCGTGGGTTTGGTTTTCCCCGTTTCCCGAAACGAATCACCCCTTTCTAGGGAGAGACTTTTAACAACACCCGATCCCCGACTTGAAATTCCAAGGGCTTTCGCCGTTTATCAGCGTAGCTCTTCTGTCGGTCGCGTGATGCTTGAAGTCGAGCTTTGATTTGAACTATTTTCTCTGTCGTTTCGCGTATGATTTCTGATCCTGTTAATGCATTGTTTGGTGTCTGCCCTCTTGCCAGTTGAGTGTCGCTTACCTCTGTCCAACACAACGGTGATCTACATTTACGACCATATAATGCTTCGAAAGGAGCAACTTTGATGCTTGTGTGATAACTGTTGTTGTACGAAAACTCAATTAAAGGTAAGTGGGTATCCCACGACCTTCCAAAGTCTATCACACATGCTCGAAGCATATCCTCAAGCGTTTGAATGGTTCGCTCACTTTGACCATCCGTATGTGGGTGGTAAGCAGTGCTCATGTCGAGTTGTGTCCCCATAGCCTTCTGTAGCGATTGCCAAAAGCGTGAAGTAAACCTACTATCTCGATCTGAGATGATAGATATTGGTACTCCATGGAGTCTCACAATTTCCTTGATGTAGATTCTTGTTAGTCGCTCCATCTTGTATGTCTCCTTTATTGGCAGGAAATGGGCGGATTTTGTCAACCTGTCGACTATTACCCATATGGTATCCAATCCATCTGTTGTCTTGGGTAATTTGGTCACAAAGTCCATAGTAATCCTTTCCTATTTCCACTCGGGTATTACCGGCTGTTGTAATAGTCCCGAGGGCTTTTGATACTCTACCTTCACTTTAGCACAAGTGAGGAACTTGCTAACGTATGTGGCAATCTCTGCCTTCATGCTAGGCCACCAATAGCATTGCTTGACTTCGAAGTTCTTTTCCATTCCACGTAACGCTTCGCTCGTTCTGTTTTCTGTCTTCATGGCGTCGAACTGGGTTGCTTTGATTTGTGAGGACAGATGGGATTGGATGGTTATTGAAAGAGTCTTCACACGACGATTTGAGTATTCTTTCCGACTCAAGGCATCAGCTACCACGTTAGCCTTGCCTGGGTGGTACTTGATTTCGCACTCATAATCGTTTAGCAGCTCAACCCATCTTCGCTGCCTCATGTTTAACTCCTTTTGATTTAAAATGTGCTGGAGACTCTTGTGGTCGGTGAAAATGGTGCACTTGGTACCATAAAGGTAGTGCCTCCAAATTTTCAAGGCGAAGACCACAACTCCCAATTCGAGATCATGGGTGGTATAATTCACCTCATGTGTCTTTAGTTGTCGGGATGCATAAGCTATCACCTTACCACGCTGCATGAGTACACAGCCTAAACCCTGATTCGAAGCATCGTAGTAAACTACGAAGTCCTCTGTTCCCTCTGGTAGTGATAGTACTGGTGCACTACAGAGGGCTCGCTTCAGAGTTCGGAAGGCAACCTCCTGCTTTTCTGTCCATTCAAATGGTACCCCCTTTTGTGTAAGCATGGTAAGTGGCTTGGCTGTTTTGGAGAAGTTCTGAATGAATCTCCTGTAATAGCCTGCGAGACCTAAAAATTGACGAATTTCTGTGGGTGTCGCTGGGACTGCCCATCCTTCAATGACTTTGATCTTAGAAGGGTCCACATGTATCCCTTCTTGACTGACAACATGACCCAAAAAGTTTACGTTACGGAGCCAGAACTCACACTTAGAGAGTTTTGCGTATAACTTTTCGGTCTGTAGGGTTTCCAAGATTTGCCGGAGATGTCGGCCATGCTCCTCTTCACTTCGAGAATAGACCAGGATATCGTCGATGCTGTGGTGTAATCACTTAAACAACCTTATGATCAATATAGAAGTACCCTCTGAGTCTACACACTCCATGATCAATATAGAAGTACCCTCTGAGTCTACAATATAGAAGTTGTCGGAGATCTCTGACAGTGATGCCTGATACTAAGAATCACCTAATGATCAATATAGAAGTACCCTCTGAGTCTACACACAAAAATCCTTAAGTTGGCCAAAAGTCAATTTGGTTAAAAGTCAACGGTCAAAGTCAACCCCAGTTGACCTTCCATGTCGTGGCCACCCATAGGCCACACCGTGGAAGCTACACCATAAAACAGTCATGGTGATACCAGTCTCCACATTGTGGCAAACATGCTGCCATGCTGTGGGAACTGTGCTCTAACAAGTTAATGAAATAAGCTCTTAACCCTTAACCCCATGAACCACAAATCTTAAATCTGAACCTTCTCAAGGTCTAGATGGATATATTTTCCAACTTTATCTATTAAGATATCCTAATAACCCAAGATCTCAAATCCTAATCTCTTAATGGTTGCAACCATTGCATGGACAACAAACTTAGCCATGAAAGTCTCATTTCTGACCACTACCATGGTCTAGAATTCAAATGAGGCACACAAAGGTTCGGGAATTCACTCAAACTCCAAGAACAAGAAGATATGGACCAAAAAGCTTATACAATGACCTGGAACTAGATCTAGAGATCTAATGAGCATTGTGAAGAATTTATACCTCAAAAAGTTTAGGAATGTGATGAAGATGCAAGATCTAAGCTGGAACCAAGCACACAAGCACCAAAATAGACTCCTTCTCCCTTCAATCTTCATAAAAGTGGATTTACACACACCAAACACATATATGGAGGCTAGGGTTTGGATGAGATAGGATCTCAGAGGGTAAAGGCTACAAAATAAGAAAAAAACCTAGGAATTAGTGCCTTTAAATAGGGTACAAACCCAGAGATCTAGGGTTTGCACCAAAATAGGCGCCCCACCGTGGCCAAAACCTTTCCACACCATGTCATCCATTATGAGTGCGCACCCCATTTCGACGATGTCACGTCGTGACACCTAGTGTGCCACTCCGTGGCCAAGCTAAAGATCCTCAAAATAAGATTCGTAATTAAATTAAACTCGAAATAAATATACCTGGAAAAACGGATGTTACAGTTTGTATGAAGTTCTAGAAGGGTTCTGGAAGCCTTCCTTAACTGATAAGGATAACTAAATTGAATAAGATAAAATAGGAATATTTTATTATTCATATTAGGGTTTATCCTGATGATCCATCAACTATAAATAGAGACCCTAGGCATAAGATTTTTGGGGGTAACCCTCTTGAGAAGCAAAATCAAAAATTCTCTCATCTCTCCTATCTCTAATTCGTTCCTAGGGTTTCTAGGGTATTAGGTGTGAACCATTGAGGCATCCATACTTTTGTTGCTTGCTTTCCGAAGAATACTTAAGAATCAAGAGTAGAGTACTTTCAATAATACTCAAAGGTATGTAATTCAATACTTGTGACTTTCGATTATACCTAGTTTAATTTATACTTTTCATAGTATGTTACTATTATGAGAAAAGCCATTGATATCTACGTTGCATGTGCCCATAAAATAGTTTTATGATTCCGATGCGTATTTAATTTGTTTTGTAACCTAGAAAACGCATCAAATATCATAGCTCGTGAAGGCCCACCTGTGATTTTATTGGCTATTTAGGCCACTTCTTAACCTTATATAGTACGAGCATTAGTTTCCGTACTAATATAGTTTAAAATACTATCATTAACCCACTATGGATTGCTGAATATACCCTTATACATCTCTATGAAAAATATTTCACTTTGCATATGTTTTATTGTTAGGTTTATCAATAGCAAACACAGACAAATAACAACCTTTCACATAAAGGTCTCCCATCTTGCATTTTCAAACATGATATTTAAAACCATTCAAATTGATAATCCTACTTATATTAGCTGTAAACAAATAGAACACTTCATAATGAATATCGATTAGCCCAAAACGACAGGTAAGCAACTAATACGAGACACTTGAAATTTGTATGGAAAACCTCAAAATGAGAGTATAAACCACGATACCACTTAGGACACTTACAATCTTCTACCGCCAATAGTGGAGAAATACAAATTATTCTTTAAGTATACTAGAGACATACAACAAACTTCACATTCTTGGAAGAAATCACTTCAAATGTATGGAATCACAAAAGGATATTGCCCAAGAATCAAACAAATAATTAAATTTTGCATCAAAATTCCCTTATAAAATTACAAATTAAAATCACAAGTAGCTAAATCATGCACATAAATAAAAAACAGAAGGGTAGATCATTTTTTTTTTTTTGCTTAATTATAAACCATTTGTCACAAAGCAACTTGTAAATACAAACTAAGGATAAAACTTTTCCTAATGCACCTTCATGTCACAATGTCATCAGAGTGTTGTAAAATTCATATAAGAAGAAGGTCAAACAAGATTAAAATTTAAAATCTAGAATTGTTTTTCTTATTCGGTTTTATACTTTACCGACTAAAAAAAATAAAAGCAAATCATAAACATCAACTAAATTATACTCCATATTCCGTATTTCTGTAGCTTTTATTTTTGTATAGCTTTACCCTAATATTTTCACACAAACAGGCCCAGTCTCTACAAAGGCCCAACAAACCCATTCTTCTTTGCCAAATCATCATGATGAACATACTCATCATCATCATCCATAAACCTCTTCCACAACCAATGCTTCTTCCACACCCTCTCCGTCATCTCTTCAATCGGAATATTCTTCGTCTCCGGCACCAAAAACCACACAAAAATCGACATAATCAACACCCACCCCGAAAAGAACAAGAAGATCCCAAACTTAAAATGGCAAAGCATCGACAGAAAAGCTTGAGCAATCACGAACGTAAACACCAAGTTTATACACACAGTAATACTCTGCCCGGCTGACCGTGTTTCGAGCGGGAAAGTCTCACTAGGAATCAACCACCCTAACGGCCCCCACGACCATGCGAACGCCGAGATAAACGTACACACCATGATCACAACCAGAACAGCGAAACCAGTGCTGAGGTTATCCGAGGTTTCAGTGACTTTGATTCCGAGGATGATTGCGATTACAACTTGTGCGAAGAACATCTGGACTCCGGCTTCCAGGAGAAGAATCCGGCGACCGAGTTTGTCGACGGAGTAGATTGATACGATCGTGGAGAGGACGTTGACGGCGCCGGTGATCACGGTGGAGTAAAGAGAAGCGTCGTTTCCGAAGCCGAGTGTACTGAATAGCACCGGCGCGTAGAACATAATGGCGTTGATGCCGGTGAATTGTTGGAAGAATTGTAGGGCGATGGAGATGATGAGTGGTGGTCGGTTCTTGCGGAGGAGGAGGTTGCGGAATGGGTGTTTGACTTCTTTAGCGATACGACTTGCTTCAACGAGCTCTAAATACTCCGGTTCCACATTATCAGTTCCTCGTATCTTTCTAAGAACAGCTTTTCCTTCTTCTAATTTGCCTCTTTCGATCAAACTGTTTGGTGTGTCAACCACCAAGAGTGCGCCGACTGTCAACATCAACGCCGGGATTCCGGCTAACCCTAGGGAGAGTCTCCACCCCCAACCACCTTCAATCCTGTCAATTAAACCCAATAGATAAATAAATAAATGTATTTGAATATATTTTTTTAATTTATGAAATTAACTTACTTTGCTGTTCCATAGTTTACGAGGTTGGCGAAAAGAATCCCAATTGTGACATTAAGTTGAAACAAGATGTTGAGACCTCCACGTATTCTTGTGGGTGCTATTTCCGATAGAAATACTGGAACAGCCTGAAATAAAATCATTAATTCATCACACGTTATGATTGATTGATTGATTAATTAATTAATTCACGTTTATTTGCCAAACATTTTTCAATTATTATCATGTACTCGAACTGGTTCATTACGTATCAGTTTTGTCATATTTATATAAGATATTATTGATGTAATAATTTTATTACAACGTGCAACTATGCTTTTAGCCTTTTTTTTTTTAAATTACGAATTAAAAATTTAAAACTAAAAACTTCAGTTTAGGACGAAATCATGTGCAATTATTAAACTTTAGAAATGCCAAGAAAGTTGGAATGGGGAAGACGGATATATATGATATGATCCTAGGATAAGAAAAGAGGATATGTCATCCGACATAAATTGAAAGATTAGATCGTAGTAATATCCAAAGCATGCCAAACATGCACTAGACATCACTATTTTCAATTTTTAAACAAAACACATGATTCAACTTTTTGGGATGGGACCTTTTTATCTTATCTAATGCTATATGAATTAAGGCCACGGACTTTTTGAGGATAAATCTCGTTATATTTATTAAAGTTTGAAAAATATGAGGTGTAAATCCGTATTGCATTTATTGTTTGCTTCAAAAAGTTATTTAAACAACGAGATATACATATAAGGTGATATATACAGAACGAAAATTAAGTCGTATAAACGTTTGTTTGGTTTCGTTGAACTTATCCTATTAATATATATAAAGCTTACGTTTTGTCTAACGAAGCATAAAAAGATTCTTTGGTTGTAGTATCCAATTTTTTTTTTGAAAGATAATATGAAAATGATAACTAAGTTGACTTAACTATCCTACAAATTTTATTTTATTTTTGTTTTCCATTCCATTTATATCATTTATGACATTTTAAATGAATAATCAGAGCTGTCTTTCTTTAAACCAACACGTAGTGGTTGGGTGGACCATATGATATGCTTCCCTAAAGACTTGAAAAAATTTCTTTGCTTTATTTCAGCTTTGTGTGTGGAAAATATCTTTTCATTTAATGCATAACTATTATTGTTAACTTCAGCTTTGTGTGTGGAAAATATATATTACTCCGTATTTAATGCATAATTATTATTGTTATTATTGGTTATGATTTTTTGGGAGTAAACTACGTATAGATGAAATGAATGATAAGGAATAAAATTGACATGATAAAGAAATAAACAAAATAACGAAATGTGATATTAGATTTTATATTAGTTTTACGAAATGTGATATTAGATTTTATATTAGTTTTAGTGTTTTGTATAATAATTAAATACTATAACATATACGTTTAACATATTAAATAACATTATTAAATTATAGTATTTAAGATAAAATATGATAAATCTTTTAAAACTCATAAAAGATGATATAAAAAAAATACTTCTAGTTATTTTTGAAAAACAAATTTACAATTTGATTAAAATTTTGAAAAAATTACAAAGATAATGTTCATTAAAAATACTTACCATACATTATCCATATTTCTTTTCTTGTGCAGAAAAAAACAGTAATAGATAATGCTTTACAAGATCAAATCCAGAAAAGAATGAAATTGTTTCATTCGTCGAATAAAATAAACAATTATTAAAATTTAATAAAATTAAATCATTGTAACATGCATCCTCTTAAGATCGGAACTTGCATAAGAATAATTTATTATTTATATTATCTTTAAACTTGAATTATCCTTAATCGACTTTACATGTTAAAAGTGGATTTATTTATTTTCCTCTTAATAATAATGGCAATGAAGATAATAATATAATACTATTCAAAGTCAAGACTTAAAAGTACCTAAATCTACTATATATGTGACAACAATAATAGACCATCACATAAAAGAATCAACTTAAAATCACCATTGTTGACTATACCCACGATGCTGATAGATTGAGAATCTGAATTTGTTGAAAAATATATTATTTTGTATCAACTTCAAATCAACATTGTGGACTACTCATGATGATGATGCATTAAGAATCTGAATTTGTTGAAACTATATTATTTTGTATCATACCCCGTCGACAGATCCAAAATCAAGGATTTATAATTTTATACAATACGTTAAGCAAGCTGTACTAATTTGTTATTAGTTTATTAATCGTTAATTTTTAATTATTAAAAAAGACAAAATAAAGATATTGAGAAATCGAACAAATTACCTGATTAGCAAAACCAACACCACAACCAAGCAAAATCCTCCCAACAATGAGCATGGCAAGGTTTTGAGCAGCGGCATTGAAAATAACTCCGAAGATGAAGAAAACTCCGGCAATCAACATAGTCAGCCTTCTTCCAAGTCTCCTCGTGGTGTAAGACGCGAAGAAAGTTGCTGTCAATCCAGCGAGATACAAGGAAGAAGTGAATAGTTGTAAGCCTTGATTGTCATATTTGCAGTAATTACTACCAAGTTTGCCTTCCTCCGTCTTCCTATACACCACCGGAAAAAACTTCTTCAAAAACTCCGGCATCGCCGTCACTCCACCTGTGTAGATCACATTCAATATTTGTGTTATTAAAAATAACGAAAATCGTTACGATCTACCTACCTAACACTCTAATTAAGAAAAATTAACATAATAATAATTGATTAGATATTTCAATCTGATTTCACGTTAAAAACGATCGATGTCGAATGTATTAATTGTTGAATGCCGGATCTGAACAATCATTCAATCAACAACTAAATTGGGGCGTTAAGCAAAACAATGATATTCTTCTGATTTGATCTTTCCTCGAATTAGCCAAATAAGGTGAAAATCAAATCCTCATTATCGGATTCAGAATATGATCTGTTAATGGGATTTGAGAAGGAGGTTTGATGTTTGTTTACCTGAAACGCCGACGTCGTAACCAAACATAAGGCCGCCGGTTGCTGCCATAATGCATGAGATGATGACAATAGGCGTGATTTTGGCCTCAAACTCTACTCCTCCGGCGGCGGCTACCGCTAACCCTCCGCCAGCCATCACGGTAGGATAAAGGTGAAATCTCTAGATGTGATATTTCGATCAAACAAAGAGGCGATCACTCAGGATTAACTCTGAACTGAAAACTGGTTTATCTGGCTAACGAAAGGGTTTAAATAGGGAAATTTGGAGAAGTGAAAAACGTATTGTTTGTTTTCACGGGATGTGGGGTCCACCAATCAAATATTGACATCTGTACTTATCATCTTTTTTTCCTCTTCGCCGGCTCAGACAGTCGTCACACAGATTCTGATTTCCTAACTTTCCTCATATTACGCTCTCGCCAAATTTTATCTGTTACCACTTTTTTTCCACATCAATAAATAGTTTATTTTATGAAAAATTAAATATCCTTTTACACTTTTTACACTTTGCTTCTATTTAGCTTCCTACTTAGATTAGATAATAATATGTAAAATCTGTTAATTCACCCTTAATATCTCATTTTGATCTTTATCCTTATCTTGATCTACTGGATAGGAAGATAAGTAAAAAAGATAAGTAAAAATAAAAAATAGAAGGATATTTGATTTCTATTTTATTTACCAATTCTAATTTTAAAACAATTGCAAAAACTATTTTTAAATCCTTTAACTTTAAAAAAAAACATCTATTGTTTTTTCAGAAGTGTTATCGAAGGTACTCAGCAATGTCGGCATTTTATAGGTTTTCTAATCACAATTTTATAAGGATTACTTTGACGCATTTATTCACAAGTTTGGAGGGCTCTTCGCTAATTTTCTATCATTATAACCCATGAATTATTTGAATTGTACTTTGTTTTATATAAGAGTATGTCGACAAAAAGATTTTGTCAACGATATCTTTTGTATAAGCAAATTCTCACATGCGTATTGGTATTGTATGTGATAGTTAAAGTTTGGGTGTTGACTTCGTTTTCTTCACCAATTTTCCAACGGGATGGAGGGCAAATCTTATAAACGTTTCTAAAACTGCCTAACAGTTGTAAACTAGTACTAATATTTTATTATTGGATCAACTACTGATGGTGTAACTGCACAGGCCACAGAGGCGAATAGAGATTCTTATTAAAGTGCATTAAGCTCTTGGTATAAACCTCACTCGAAAATCCAAATATTTATGGTCTTCGTTTCTCCTTAAAATTTTACATATTCCATAATATTTACATATTGTTGTATCTATGTAATTTTTGGTTGGAAGAAAAATATTGTATTATTGACTACTTTGTATTTTGTTGTGTCATAAATCAAAAGTATTGTGTTTATTTATTTAAACTTTGTGTTGGTAGTTCAAGAACATGATAAATGTTAGAAATAGGGGATGAACAGATTGCTTGGATTATCTGAAAGTCGTGATTCACTATTAAATTGAAGTATTTCGATGGTACAGATCGAACACTCAATTGGATGAAATTCAGAGATATGAAATCAGAGAATGACTGTGAAAATGTTCTTCAAGATGTACCAGAAAAATGACCAAAAAACGGATTTATGATCTTTGTCTGAAAACTGTCATATGACAGTTTCAAACTGTCATAAAACCATAAAAACTAACATAAAAACGGGTATTTGGATAAGGGTCAAACCAATGGTCAAACTGTCGACCCCAGCCAGGGGGCTCTGTCCCTTGGACCCCGCCAAGGGCTGCCGTCCCTTGGACCCCGCTCTCAGGGGCGCTGTTCCCGGACCCCCGTTCGTTTAGGGGCTTCGCCCCTAAATAACAGTGTACTTTGAATCTTGAAAAAGTTGAACAAGTGTGCACTCCTACATCATCCTAACTTGTTTAATATTCATCAAGATCACTTTTGGTCAACAAATTTAATCTTATTACACTTAAATAATATTGATGATATTAAATCACCAACAAACCTCCCCCATTTAAGTGTAATCCTGATTAAACTTAAAGCAAAACATAAACAACAACAAACTGATGCATAAATGAAATGTCATGACGATTGAATTTCACATTAGTATATTACTCAATCCAAATATTCAAATATCCGGGTGTCACTAAGGATTGAACCCTTTCTATTCAAAGTGAATACATGAAGATAATACACACACCAATTTACATTCTCATAATTTCTAACTTGACACTATATTTTCCTAGCTTTGTGTCCCATCCTTCAATAAGCATATCAAAGTCAAGTCCCAACTTTTTGAAGCAGCTAAACTTCATGCTTATATAGGTAGTTCTTTTGTTCTTATACCTGCAAAATGCAATTTTTCAAAGAACTATTAAGAAATAAAATTTCAGTCTCCTTAACTTACAGTACTGAACACATACCTTGGGATGATGATTGTAATGTGTTCCAATCTTCAAATATCAAGCTTTCCATATTGAATTCAGCATCTAATATTACATTAGATAGGAATTGGGTATCTCAATATAAAAGATTTCAAGTGGACTTTAAACCCATCCCTGCAGCCGCCTTGTGCACAAGATCTCTTGCTAACCCTTTGGTTAGATGATCGGCTAAATTCAACTGAGTTCTTACAAACTCCACAGATATCACACCAGTCATGATGATCTCACGAATCATGTTGAGTCTAACACCTAAATGTCTAGAATTTCCATTGTACACTTGACTATAATCCTTAGCCAAGGTTGCAGCACTATCACATCTAATAGAAATGGTAGATATCGGTTTGGGCCATAATGGAATTTCATAAATCAAATTCCTTAGCCACTCAGCTTCTTTACCAGCAGCAGACAATTCAACAAACTCAGAATCCATGGTTGAGTTAGTAATACAAGTCTGTTTCTTAGATGCCCAAGAAATGGCACCTCCTCCAAGAAGAAACACCCAACCACTTGTAGAGGAGTGATCCTCTAAGTTGTTAATCCAACTGGAATCTGAATAACCTTCCAAAACAGAAGGATATCCACTATAAGTTAAACCATAATTCATGGTCCCTTTCAAGTACTTGAATACTCTACTCACAGCTTGCCAATGATGTGAACTAGGATTACTAGTATATCTACTAAGCCTTCCCACAACATATGTTATATCAGGCCTAGTACTAATCATGGCATACATTAGACAACCAATACCCCTAGAATATTCAAATTGAGACACTGGATATCCTTTATTAGGTAGAGGCTTGAGACTAGGATCTATAGGAGTGCTAATAGGAGAACAATTCCCAAAGTTAAACTTTTTCAATATCTTCTCAATGTAAAGAGATTGAGAAATTGAAATCCCATTGTTTCCTTGTTTAATTCTTATACCAAGAATTACCTTAGCCTCCCCCCAGGTCTTTCATTTCAAAACTAGATGATAAGAATTTCTTGGTTTTATCAACTTCTTCTTAATCAGTACCAAAACTCATTATATCATTCACATATAAACAAATCACGACTCCTTTACCAGAAGTATCAAATTTGCTATATACACACTTGTTAGCTTGGTTTAATGCAAAACCATTAGACAAGACAACATCATCAAACTTTTGATTCCATTGTTTTGGTGTTTGTTTCAAACCATATAATGATTTCTTTAACTTGCACACTTTGTGTTCATTTCCAGGCATCACAAACCCTTCAGGTTGTTTCATGTATATTTCCTCATCCAATTCACCACTCAAGAATGCAGTTTTCATATCCATTTGGTGAATCACAAGATTATGTATAGCTGCAAGAGCTAATAATAATCTAATAGTAGAAATTCTGGCAACAGGAGCATAAGTATCAAAGAAATCAATTCCTTCCTTTTGTCTAAAGCCTTGGATAACCAATCTGACTTTATACTTATCAATTGTGCCATCCACCTTCATTTTTCTTTTGAGGATCCATTTACATCCTAATGCCTTGCAACCAGGAGGTAAATCAGACAATACCCAAGTATTGTTATGCATGATAGAATCAATCTCATCCTAAATTGCCTATTTCCAGAAATGAACATCCCTATAAGCCATAGCTTCATTGAAAGTCTTTGGATCCTCCTCAATATTAAAACAATATTGATGTTGAGACACAGTCTCATTTCTAGCTCTAGTACTCTTTCTAAGTTCAGATACAGAACTTGTATCACCAGAAGCATCTTTAGCTTGAGTTGTGTTCTTGCTGAAAGATTGCTGAATCATGTCCCTTGGTCTAGATATAGATGTAAATTTTTCTTCATCAAAGATAACATCTCTTGACTCTATAACAGTGCTCACAGACACAAAGTCATTAGATTCTAAAACATAGAATCTATAAGCTTTGGAATGCTTAGCATATCCAATAAAGATACAATCTATACCTCTTTCACCCAATGTCTTCCTTTTGGGTTCAGTGAGCCTCACAACTGCTCAACAACCCCAAACTTTGAGATAACTCAAATTTGGTACCTTTTTACACCAAAGTTCATAAGGAGTATTCTTACTCCTTTAGTTTGGAGTTCTATTTAAAATATAACATGTAGTTAAAACATTGTTCAAACACAAACATTTCCCAGAAGTAAAGGTAAGTAAAACAGATCCTAGTCCCTTGATTGGTTTAGTTGCAACATTTCCAATCTTCACAACAGATCCATCTTCAATTGGTTGAAAGTCTTTGAACCAATATAGATCTCTGCAAACATGACTTGTTGCTCCCGAATCAACCCACCATGCAACATTATCATCGTGCACATAAAATGCTTCAAAAATCACAGAAATCTAATTTTGAATATATTTAGAATTCTGCATGAAAACAGAAATCTGACCTTGTTGCTTTTTTGGATCCTTGGATCCACTTGGTCCAGCACCATCCTGGTTCACCTTGCAAAGATGACAATCTTTCTTGAAGTGACCCGGTTTGCTACAATTCCAACAAACCAACTTAGCCTTCTTGTTGGAAGACTTGTCATCCTTTCCTTTAAACTTCCTTTTTCCATTAGACTTCTTGGGATTCTTTGAGCTTTCTCCTTCTGCCATGTTCACAGAAGAGGAACCAACTTGGTTCTTGCCTTTAGGATTGTCATCAAGTTCTTGAGTCCTTAAGGACTCTTCAATCCGTAAATGGCTTCCAATTTGAATCAAAGTCAATTCCTATTTGTTATGTTTCAGATTGTGTTTAAAATCTTTCCAGGAAGGGGGCAGTTTGTCAATGATCACAACCACATAAATGGCTTCATCCATATTCAGATTGTGTTG